TTTTTAATATAAAATTTTATTTTTAAAAAAAATTATAATTATTACTTAATAATAATTTTTTATCTTATACTCTTATCGAAGAGAATAGACAAGCCCTCCAAGCAAAGATGCAATCTGGAGAGCACATGTGATGACACTACAGACAAAGCGCATTTGGTGCAATCATTTTGTTACAAGAAAATGAAAAGAGAACCAAGGAAATGATAGCAGAAGCTAGAGAGCTTGTTCTACATTGAATAATTTCGCCAATTTTTGTCGTTGATTTAGGTTCTATTTTCTACATTACCAAGACTAGAAGTAGTGAGATATTAAACTTTGGCTTCTGCTCCACTTCCTCCACTGAAAGTAGAGGCACCATACTTCTGCTCGAAGGCATTTGCAGAAGTTAACACCAAGAGTATAACACAGAATTAAATTATGTTGTGAGTTTCAGAAATTAAGGGTAAAATTAAGAAATTTATTCACATTAAGGATTATCAGCTTTACGAAGTAAATACTTGTAATCTACTGCCCAGAGCTAGCATTTCCTTCTCCACTTCAGTCCAGATGCATCCTCAAAATGCATGGTGTCAAGAAGATAAACTCTTGCTTGCTTGACAGATGTACCAGATAAAAGTTAAACAAAATTCTGATTAATGAAGACAATAGGAAAATGGCATGCTAGTTAGAATATATATACCTTAGCTACTTTTGGAAGGGTAAGAACTAAAAATGACACTGTAACACTATGGCACCATTTTGCCATTTGTTTATGATTATTACATAATCAACTCTCTGTAGATCCAAAATTTAAATAGGGATTATTGATTTTGTTCATTAAAGGCGATTTCAAAGCAAGCAGGTCTTACCATGTGCCTGGTATATGTTGTGTCTTCACCAATATAAAAATGTTTGTTTAGAAAGGAACAAGCTCCTAAGAACTATCTTTCCCACATCATTTGCAAGTCATAGGAAATTCTGCTCTGCTCTAAAAAGTGACTGAAGATCAGAATAAATATTCAAATAAAGCTTTTGTGATAGGAATTTTGCTCCAGTAAAAAGAAAGCAACCAAATACGTGTTTGAATTGTGTTAATTAGTACGAATCCAGTAGCTTCTCATCACCAGCATGCTTTTCTAACACAGCACCAATGGCACAAACATCAACTTGCCCACAAATGAATGTAACACACATGCCTATATCCAAGGATGGTCATTACAATTTTCTTTTCAAACAGGCCTGACCATTGATGAAGTTTAGCCATAAGTTCAATTAAAAAAAATATGAATCAAACTATTATTTTGTAGTATTATACTATCACTAATAAGGTTCAAAACAAAGATAAATAGTAATATCTCACAATTTCGGCCAAAAATGCTTATTATAAGAAAAGCCAAGATGCAAATGCAGCAAAAGAAATACCAAAGGAAATAAGATAGATCCTTACAAAGGTTTGAAAGACAAAATTACACAGATAAGAAAAACAATTCCACTTAGAATTTGATCATATTTAAACACAGCACATAAAAAAAAAAGAAAAAGAAGAAGAACAAAAGAAAAATAGAAAACAGTAAGTATATCTATATTAAATTGAAAACCCAACAACAATAACAGGTGAAAGCAAATGTGATTTCCTCCACCTTTCTTGTGGTAACAGAGTCTCCAACTCCAGCTTTGCTGCCAATGGGGAGAAGAAACAAAAGATATTAAAAAGAAAAGACAGCAGTGAGAAAATTTTGTTGAGATAGAAAGAAAAAGGAAAGCATAAAAAATGAAAACTCCTACTAAGTTGAATAAGAATCAGAATCAGAAATGAAAAATTGAAGCTAAAAAGGCTTACATTTGCACCGCCCAATCACCAAAGAGCCTGCACTCCTTTGCTTCTTAACCCATCCTAAGAGATTCTTCTTCTTCTTCTTCATCATCATTGTTGTCGTCATCAGACATTTCTTTTTCTTCTTCATCATCGTTGTCATCACCAGACATTTCTTTTTCTTCTTCTTCTTCAATGTCGAGTGTTGCTGTCGAGGTATAAAATTTACAGAAGGTGAAAAGGACATCCTTTGCATTGGATTGGTCCCATTCCAATGATTCCCAGTGTTCTTTTGTTTCTACCTCAATTTGTTTGAGGGAAGGAGGCTGGCCATTGTCAAGCGAGGAAAGATGCAGAGGAATCCTCTTTAGCTTCTTACATTTGCGAATATGCAGATCGTTGATGGAATCACAAATCAACACATTGAAACTGCTACAGATGCTCTTCAATTTGGGCAAACCCTCCAATTTTAACTTTTGGAGCTTGGGTAGAGTGATTTTTTCTAGGACTTCTTTTTCTTCATAGGTCGATGATGATATCAGCTCCTCCATTTGTTCACAGAAATAAACTTCAATAGTCTCTAGAGATTGGAAGTAGCCAAGTAGCCGTCTAGATGAGAATACTTTCTTTAATTTAGGGCAAGACCTGTAAGGACAGGTCCGAGGTACCAAGACTCGGACTGCTACAGTAACTCCTCTATGGCCGAAGTGCAGAATAAACCCAAAGCTTCCCGCTCAAATAGATGCATGGCAATGACAAT